GGGGGGGGGGGGGGGGGCATAGGAAGAGACACCTAGTTCGGATGACTGCAAGCGCCCGTGTTGTGTGTGGTGTGTCGGTGGGTCGGTGGGGTCACCAACGTACCTTCCTTTGAGTGTTGTGTGTGTATGGAGGTCTGTTGGTCCTGGTGTGCGGCGGTCTGTCTCTCGAGGTGCTCGAGCCGCGTGTCGCGGTCGCGGATGGTCAGCAGCAACTTCTCCACATCCAAACCACTCGTCCGGGTCTTCTTCTGCAAAGTCGTCTCCAACTCCTCCAGACGCCTTATCCATATCGCACACACGACAGACGTGGATGTCTCACCAACAGTGGAGGGATGGATCGATGGATCTTAAGATGGCTTACTTGGTCTTGGACATTTTCCACTTCTGGAGCTTCTTGGTCTGCTGCTGCGCCATGTTGACCTGCCCCTTGAGCCGGTCAATGGTGAACTCGCAGGAACTCACGTTCTGCGTGGCCTTGATGAGCTCGCCACGCGCCGTCTGCTCCCGCGCACGCAGTTCGTGCAGCTGCGCCCACAGAGAGCTGTTGTCCGTCAGAGTCAGCCGCAGCTCGCGGACCTCCTTCTCGAATCGCTCCCGAGTGGTCAGCAGCCGCCAGGCCTGGAAGGTGCGCAGCTTGAGGTTGACGCTGTGCTGCTCGTGCAGCTGCACCGTACCGTCACAACACGCAGGCAGGCAGGATACACAGGAGTGTGCTTGTGCTTGTGCTGGTGGGGAATCCTTGTGTGGTGTGTGAGTGTACCTGTTGTCTCATTCTGAGGACCTCGGACTCGTCGTCTTGTGCCAGTCCCTTCATGAGCTTCTCCGCGCCCGTCATCGGCCGGTCACCGCGATCGACCTCTCTGTCCTTTGCTTCGGTCGCCGCGGCCACTGCAGCAGTGACCGAGGGAGCTTGAGTGACACGCCGCGATGTGTCCGTCACTGATTGATAGACGTGGATGCACAAATGACGGCCCTCCTGTGTGTGTGTCTGTGTGTTGTGGCTCACCAGCAAAGCTGGCCTTGTGCATGAGCCTGCCGGAAGCGTGCTGCTGTAGCGAGTCCGCCTCGTCCTCAAGTGCCTTCTGCGCCCTGAGCAGTGAGGCGGGGTGTCCGATATGGTGTCTGTCGGCCAGGTCGGCCAGCTCCTGCAGCGCCCTCTCCTTGAGCTGCCGCAGGGCCACAACCAGCTCGTGGTGCAGAGTCTCGCGGTACTCCTGGGACGAATCGATCGTGTGCGCTAGGTCGTTGCGAAGGCCCTGCAGCCAGACAGACACACAGACAGACAGACAGACATGGAGAGACAGACAGAGACACAGAAATGGGGAGAGTGTGCGTGGGACCTGCAGTTCTTGCTGGACACTCCTGGTGATTTCGTCTTTGAGTTTTCGTTCGGTGGTGTGGGCGGCGCTTTGTATGTCGACGATCAGCCGGTGGAGGCGGTCGATCTCAAACACCAACTTGTACCCCTTCTCAGCCACCTCGGCATTCACCTGCAGTGAGTGCACCACACACTAAGTCGAACGAAACACTGCTGCTTGTCGATCGCCTTGCCTGACTCTCCCTCTCCCTCCCTCCCTCCCTACTAAGTACCTGTGTGGCGAGCTGTGTCTTGAGGTGTTTGGTCTCGTGGCGGAGAGCGCGTGTCTTGTGCTCTTGGTTCATCAGGCTGGGCAGGCAGGCAGACAGGAAGAGACACACAGATTCGCACAGGTGAGCAACCTGTCGGTGTCTGTCATGTCTGCCCACCTCTGGCTGAGTCCGTCGATGAGCCCCTGGGCCTGGTGCTGCCGGCCGGCCAGGAAGTTGACAGCCCAGTAGAGCAGCTTCTTGCCCAGGTCCTCCACACACTCGTTCAGGTCACGCTCCAGAAACACATAGCCGCGCTCGCCCGAATTGGTCCGCACAAAGGTGCCCCTGCACCCACCGCACCGCACCAGAAAAGACACAAGTCCGTCCGTCCAAGAGAGACACAGACACCTACCCACACACAGCGTACCCACAGACCTGCTTCTGAGTCTCTGGATGAAGTTGAGTGTGATCTCGATCTTGGACACAAAGTGTCTGCGGTCGAGGAGTGCGATGGTGTGGTCGAAAATCTCGCCCTGCGTCTTGCTGGAGAAGTCCGTCTCGGTGTAGCCCGCCTTGAGCACCTCCTCGGCCATCGGCTGCCGCGCCAGCCCCTCAGACACGTTGATGCTGACCAGGGTCGATATGGTGTGCAGCTCGCCCTGGCACGCCGCAACCAGCAGCTCCAGGAAGATCTTGTCCAAACCAACCAGCATCAGGGATATCTGACGGAGAAGGAAGGAGACATCGCGTGTGACGCGCGTGGCGGTCTCTCTCGTGGTTTCCCACCCATGCTTTGCTCACCCTACCGCTGCGTATGTGGTGGCCATGCTTCGTGTGAGGTCCCGCTTGGCCCGCTCCAGCACCTCCTTTGGCAGCGATGTGTACTGCAGCTCCATGTCCTCCAAATCCATCGGCACCTCGTTCTCGTTCTCACCCTCCCCACCTTGACGCGCCACCGACGGGCCGGGGGCGGGGGGGAAGTCCTCCTCGGTCGCTGTGGCTGTGGGGGACGCCTCATCAGGCAGCATGGCGCCTCCCCCAGACCTGCAGCAGAATGGACATGACATCAGAGGTGTGGTGCAGTCTGTCTGGTGGGTGGGTTGGTTACTGACTTTCTGAGTATCGCCCTGCTGAAGGCGTCGATGTCCTCAGCTGGTGGGCCGAAGAGTGTGTGGAAGAGGGCCTGTGCGGCGCCCCGCTCCTCTCCACTCGCGAGCTGCTGCATGTTGATGCTGCTGGGGAGGCGGCGAGTGACGAGGGCCATGAGCATCTCTTTCATGTAGGAGTGCACCAGCCGCGCCCGGATGAGCTCCTCCTCTCCCTGCATGGCCTTCTCCACCTCCACCTGAGGCGATATCTCCAACACCTGCATCCAGTCGTCGAGCTCGATCTGCAGCTCCATGTGTGTGGCCGCCACCATCTGACGGGACGCCGGGCGGAGGAACAGCAGCATCCCCGGGACATAACTTAAAGGCAAGTGCGGCAGACCCCTCAGCCCCCACTCCTGCAACGGACACTCACGGACGCCCTCATGCTGCTGCTGCGGCACATGAGGCGCTCTCTTCTCGCCGTCACTGGGGGTCTCTCCCCCCCCTGTCGCAGCTTGGCTGAGGGGCCTGACCAGATCGGGGCGGCACTGTGCTACCACCTCATGGAAGAACGGATGTAGGTAGGGGAAGGGGTGGGGGAGCGGTGCGTGCAGCTCTGAGAAGTACACGGCCATGGTCCGGTCGGAGCACTCGCCGTACTCGTCATAGTCCACCAGCAGCGGCTGCAGCGAGATGGAGTCGGCCATCAGGCTCACCCCGTGAGACAGCCGGTCAGCCGACCCCGCCAACGCCTCGTGCAGACCCAGGCCGGGCACACCACCACCACCACTACCGCTGGCTGCCCTCGCCTCCCCCTCTGCATGCTCCTTTGCCGTCGGGGACGACGGCACGGCCAGAGACAGCCCGTCTGTGAGGAAGGGTGACGCGCCCCAGTCAGGTGGCTTCTCCCTGTTGAGGCGTGATGCCGGCCGGCTGCCCGACTCC